GATGTAATCGGCTAAGAATATAGGAGAATCTCAGATCCCCCCTGTTCGGAACCATCAGAAGAACATCAGCAGGCGGCAAGCATGAGGCCTTCCCTAAAAACTTTCCAGTGGAGCATTCTAAATCATTTTGATTAAAGGCCGATGTTCTACTATCAAACAACTTTTAAGAACTTAACAGTAAGAGTGCAAAAAGCACAGCCTCCAAGTTGAATGAGCCCCAACCTGGGCCAAAGGGGGTAATGAGATTCATGTTCAGGAGGTTGGAATATTCTTCAGACCCCTACCACCCAGCCTTCTTCCCAATCCAGGGCCATCCACCTGCTTTCTACCACCCAAAATGCTGCCTTTCTCTCCCTACTTCCCTATGTATTCTCTCTTTCTCACTGTTCTCTGGCCACTATTCCACCTCCTTTGCCTGTCTGCATCTCAGTCAGCTTTTCTACTTGGCATTTCAGCCATCCCAAGCACTGCCATTCTTCATGCCAGCCTGTCCATTCTTCTCCACCTCCCCTGTGCTGCCCCCCCCCACAGCCTGCTGAAAGGTTACAGCAAACTTTAGTAGAGGAAACAGTAACCCTGAAACTGTTTTATAGCCTCCTCTACTAATAGAAGAAAAGCTGCATCTCCCTGACCCTCACCTTTTGGAGCAGGAGAAAGACCCAACTTCCTTCTTCCATTGGTTCCAAAACAAACCAGAACCATGTTTTCTTTAACGGTCCCTGCCCCCTTTGGAAGTATAACCTTCCACACTGTACAAAACCCATTACGGTCTTCAAGCCAATGAGAGTTGTGTATCCCAATTTAAAGAGTCCTGAAGTTCTTGATAGACCTTAATGGTTATGTGTGCCAGGAGCAAGAGAAGATACTCCTGCATTATTCAGAAACATGCACTGAAAGGGAAGACAGAGAGCTAAATTTCAAAATCAAAAAGCAGACTACTTCAACACACTGAAGGGCACTACTCATTTGCTCATGGTCCCCTTCAGAAGAACCCTTGCACTGATGCTTGTTGGCAAGATCCTTTCTTTTGCCAACTTCACTTAAGAAAATAGTAGTGAAGGCCTTCAAACGAAAACTTACCCTAGAAACCAGATTCAGGCCTGTACAGTCTATCCTTGCTCTATTATTACGGGCCTTTGCAGCAAAGCTTCAAGGCCTCTAATTTGTGTTTGTAAAGTGAGTCTTCATTTCAACCACATTTCAACACACATGCCCCCCCCCCCCCCGCCTTCTCCTCCCTCCCAGCAGGTAACTTCTTTCTAACTTATTCAGAAAAGCAATTAAATATCTCAAAACAAGAATGAGACAATATGTTTCTGGAATGCAGGAGACTTTACTCACCACAGAAGAATGTATGAAGGTCCTTATATGATCTCATATAGCATACTAAAGGTTTAACAAAAGATAAAAAAAGCTTTCAGAAGTTTAATTTGCTCTTACACTTGTTGTGGAACCCAGCAAAATTATCTTTGCTGTTGCTGCTCTTTAATCTATAAGCAGTGGCACATCATAGCTTATCGCCAGCTAATAACTGAAGTTGGCATACTATAAAAGCATAATTTCTTATAGTAGATACACACTTTCCCCTTGATCACCTCTAATCAAACAGTTCTTTTTAAATACTAGAAAACCACAGAAAGTATCTTTAGCAAAGCCAACAGGGATTTGGCAACAATGCCTCTGTCAAATTGCTGCCAAGAAAAGGGAAAGCTATAATTTTTCTCCAGCTGTAGCTTTGTTTTGTCACCTAAGACAAAAATATACACTTTTTAAAGCAAACAAGAAAAGACCACAACCACTTCCTAGATTGTAATTCATTCAAACCCTAATTATTGACTCTCCTCAGGAACCATTTGTCAGGATCAGCGTGAGGTTAAAATGACTAAATTAATAGCCAAATTAAAATTAATGACTAAAGCAATCCTTGTAATTGCTTTGGACACGATGGCTTAACCTGGATGGATAGGGTTATTACTGAATTTGCGTCTAGAGGTAAAGTGAAGACACGGTAAAAGAGAGGGGTCCAAATTTCTGCTCAAAAATAATGTCTTGAGCCATTCAGTCTCCCTCAACCTAACTGAGCTTCTTAGGGTTGTTGCATGTTAAAACGAGACAAGATAAAGTCTACATTAAGTTGAGCTGGCGGTGACTTCACAGACCCATCTATGCCCTTTTCTTGCAATAACATGGAAACAGTTTGCCCTCTTCAGGTATGTTTTCTGTTATTTCACAATCTAGCATACAGCCATGAGATTTTTCTAGTAGTCTCCCATCCAGGTAGTAACCCTGGTAAGTTTTTCAAAAATCAGCCATGCTGACTAGGTGCTAGTAATATTATAACATTCATATAGACACTAATTTCATATTGGAGATGAGGAAAACTGAAGTGAGTGGCTTTTCAGAATGTACATCTATTACAGTATTATATTATTGTGGGCCACTCAGTCAGCCAGATGTTTACACTGGATTTGGCATTTTTATCCACCTATCAAGTCCTTCCCAAGGACCTGGGATAGGCAGATGTTGTTTGATGGTGTTAAAGGTATCGTCGCAGGATGTGAGCTGTTCCAAGTCAAGCTGCCTTTTGCAATTGACTGATGGTGATTTTGTCAGTGCCGATGGTCTTCAAGTGGTGCTTCAGATGTTTTGGGATTGCACCCAAGGTGCCTATAACTATTGGTACAATCTTTGCTTTCTTTTGCCATAGACATTCTACTTTTATTTACAGGTCATTATATTTTGTGATTTTCTCCAGTTCTCTCTTTTTTCTTCTGCTGTCTCCAGGTATTGCAGTGTCCACTATCCAGACTTTTTTGTCTTTCTTATCAACAATTGTTAAGTCTGGGGTGTTATGTGGTAGGTGCTTGTCTGTTTGTTGTTATTTCAAATTGTATAGCCACCCATCTCACAACTGTGGTTATGGGTGGCACACACAGGGTTAAAACTAAATCAAACAGAACATAATAAGGAAAGTCCTAATGGCAGCTAAAGACAAACCCAACTTCCATCATGTAAAAGACAAACTCATGCTGACAGGCTCACCTAATCTCCAAAGCCCATGTCCAAGGAATATCCAAGGACTTCCAAAATGCTAGCAGGATCAGGGCTTCATGAATTTCAGGGGGTGTGGTGTTCCTAAAGGCAGATGCCACCTGAGGTGTTTTGGAAAAAGGGCAGGATAAACACTGGAAGAGTAGGCCTTCATAAATAATTGCTAAAGAACTTACAAAAGGAGTTGGAATTTTGGTACGGTGAAAGAACCCAATAATAACCACAGGTAGCCTTATTCTGTTTCAGACACAGTGGCCTAGTAATGAACTGGACAAAACACCACTAGAAAAAGGAACAATCTGCTTTAAAACAGCCAAGAAACAGGAGGATTTGGATGCCTAAGGAAATTAAGGAAATTAAATTCATCTGTCCTCACACTACCTTTCCTAGATAAAAATGATCAGTCCCAGTGCTAATAGCACTGCTGATTTACAACGTAACTTCATTCTTCCTCCAATACGTTAACCACAAAAAAGAGTTGCTCTCTGCTAGGCAGAAAGATGTTTTGATCAGAACTGTTCACCATGGAACCTCATATTTTATACCTTGGCATTAGAAAAATTAAGCTAATACCTGTAAGTTGTTAATGCACAGGGTTCAAGAAACTCAAGCACCCAAAGAGGACAAAATGCTGCAGACTCCAAGCTCACCCTTTCAACCATTAAAGCACTTTTCCCTTCCCATGCATTGCCCATTATCTCCTTAGCATCTTGAATTCTGCCAGTGTAATTGTTTCTTATGCAAATATTTTAAATATTCCCCAAAACATGCCAGTTAACTCCCAGGAAAATAAGAGTGTTTGCTCTCATTTAAAGCACAAAGTTAGAATTGTTTTGCTACAAATTCTGGGGAGAGAGGACAAAGCATTAAATCCTTAAATGCTAGTGGCTATATATGTACCCAGTGTGATATAAACACCCTTATTTTCCCCTAGTATTCAACCACCACTAGCACACCATTTAAACTTGCGGTTATTCTTTAATCTCTTCTGCTCTCCCTTCCAAAAAATTACATTCTCTAGATAAATTGCCCTCCTCAATAACTAGGACTTTTATTTCCTTTTCCTTCATTTGTCTTGATTACATTCACATTTGGGTCCAGTGCATGAAAATTACAGACCACTTCAGCAAGGCACAAGCTGTTCAGCATTAACTAGTGAATGCCTCTTCCAATCATTCTGAAGTAGCAAATATTTTAGATCCAAACCCAGTAGGGGCTAACATAATAAGACCTCCTTGTCTCCTGTACAGATGATTAAGTGGAGCAGGGGATCCTCTTCTGAAAGTTGGATTAAACCGTATTGCTCCCCAAAATCTAGACTTTGAAAGTAGAGAGAGAAAATAATCTTATATTAACCCTTTACAGAGTTGATAAACTCAATAAAAAGGCAAAACAGAGCTATTTATTACACACACAGACTCTGAGTATAAATAAATCCCTTGGAATCAGCATGTAGAAGTAGATATGGGTAGATTGGGCAGAAAGCACAAAATTCAGCTTCCTTGGAAAGCTGTTTTTTAAGTTTGCAGATTTAATCTCAGCTGAAAGTACACAAGCAGGACAAGTACAGAAAGCAAAGAATCAGAATTGATTTTGCTGGATGAATAGCGAGCGAGCCATGAAACATACTAAGCTGCTCTGTTCAAAGCAATGGAATGAGGCCCTCTGGTGTAGCAATGGAGATTAAATAGCTCCAATGCGATGTTCAAATAAGACAAAATATAAGAAGCAACTCTAATCAGAGCCACAGAGAACAAAATGCCTTTACAAAGCAGGGGAACCATTGGAAGTGAATAAAATTCCTGTATACAGATGACTAAACAGACATTGTTCAGGCTTTTCTTGATGTCCAGCAGGAATTCTCACTCAGAAAAACAAAGGATGAAGAAGAAATAATGACTCAATTGAATACTGTTATATGGAATGATAAGAGGACTAAAAGCCAGAAGTCTTTTCACTCCTTTATTATATCATTGGTGTAAAAAAAAGGGGGGAGGACCATTTTTCCTCCCTCTCCTTTCTAAACCAATTAAGCACAATGCCATTGAAATAACTTAAACACAATTCTTGAATGTTGTTTTAACACATGGTATATGATGCACCAGCTTGAAAAAAGCAGCCTTTTGGAGAACCAGCAGGGCATGCCCTGACACCAATTTACATTTTCTCTTTCTCCAATTTAAGCAGATGTCTTCCTTGACAAAATGCCTCCCATCATACGTAAATCAAAGCGAGTTTGATGAACAGAAGCCATAAAGTGATTATTCTCACAATAGCTTATGAACAGCGACAACTTGGTTGTCCCTCCCCCTCCCTGCATTACTCCATGCAGGTGCCAACACACAAGCCGATAGCCAGCTTTTCTTCAGTCATCAAGGAAAAAAACCTGCCCTGATGTACACAGAGGGTGTTTCTCAAGAAGTCTTCTGAAAAGAGAGAAGACAATTGCAAGCCATCTCTGGTAGATTATCATTTGATTCAGCAGCTCTTCCACAATCTAAAATTAATCTGTTTCTTGGGATGTCAGGAAATGGTGATACTCTTTGCAAATAAATTATTAATGGTGCCAAGACACAGATCCAAATCTCTGCCATTTTTCAAAAGTTCTCCCAGCACATGTTAGAGGATGCTAACCAACCCTCTGTGTATTTCTGATTCAAAAGCATACCCTAAATCCCCTGGCTGTAGTTAAGAGAGTCCCTCCAAAGCAGAAGGCAACGTTAGTTGCTCTTCTTGCAGATAAACTGACAAACACGTTTTAAACATCAAAACATCATCTTCAAGCAGCAACAACAAAAATAACAGCCTCATGTTGAAAACCTTTGCAAGTTCTTTTAAGGCTATGTTAGTCTTGAAGTAAAGGGGATCTATAAGCTGCATTTTGTGTTGGCAGATGCTTCCTATTTGTGCAACAAAAAAATCTACAATAAAACTGTCAGACATCTAAGTTGTCCACAACCGTGCAAATACAAATAAGAAGTATAGAAAAACCATTAATATATATGTCTACTTGCTGCCAAGCACAGCTCACTGCTACCAAAGTCAGTGTCTTATCTAGTGCATCCACTAAATGTTTTGCACAATTACACAAAACAGCAGGATGCCAGACAGAGTATGATCTTATTGCATTTCAAGTTGTCACAAGGTGGAGTTCCATGAAGTAGCGAGAGAACCTTCAGGATGTGGAACAACATTAGTGTCAGCAAGGTAGTCAACTTGCCAGAGAAAGAGCAACAGTGACTGGCAATACAGGTGAACAAATCAACCAGAGAGACACTGTGGTTTGGCACTGAAAAAATGACAACAGAGCGAGAATCTGTTGAAGGGACTGGATTGTCATGGCAGAATTTCCTGTCTGTTAGAAAAGTGCGGTCTAACAAGAGGGTGTGGTTATTAACCCACATTCCACAAGTTCCTTCTGGAATTATGATCACCGAAGTTAAGACATCTTCAGAGCACAAAGGTGGTACTGAGTCATTGAAGCTGCAGTTCCAGAGCTCTTTGCGGCTCAGAGGCATTCAGATCAGTCTTTTGTGCCAATCCTGTAATTGAAGTAAATACACATGAGGAAGGGAAATGTGGTCAAGTACACTTGCAAACAGAATACAAACAAATACATATCATCTGACACATATTCTTTGCTACTAATGCCTCCATTCTGTATTAAAAATTAGACTATAAATTACTTTTTACTGCCATTCTGTAAAATATGATAAACGCATAGATTCGTGTTGCTATGTAAATAATACATATTAATAACTTGCTAGATAGCTGCATTTGTTTAATGTAATCTTTTGAGGGCGAATGGAAGAGCTATTCAGAGGCTTCTATATGTAGCAGTGTCCGTAAAAGTCTATAGATAAAACTTCTCTACATCTTCATCTGAGAAAGAGTTACGTCCCGTTGTGTACTATTAATTATTCATTTTCACATCTCAGTGAAGTGTAAAATTTAAGAAGCCTTTTGCAGTGATCAACCTATGTATGCTCAGAGGGATAATGCAATGACTCACAGCAAAAGGAACTAGGAGGATTGGAATGACACTGTAAGAACATCTAAACACAGAGGACGCAAAACCAGGTTAGCTTCAAGTGCATTTAATCAGCAACAGCAGTAGAAACCCTTTTGAAAAAGGGATTTTTGCCCCAGCACATGATCTACCCGAATATCATTAGCCCAGAACAAAACTGTAAGATCTATGAGAAGAAGCTCATTAAGAAATTGAGTAACATTATTGTAAGCTGCCCAGAGTCACGGTGTGTGAGTTGGGCAGCCATACAAACTTGTTAAATAACTAACTAACTAACTAACTAACTAACTAACTAACTAACTAACTAACTAACTAACTAACTAACTAACTAACTAACTAACTAACTAACTAACTAACTAACTAACTAACTAACTAACTAACTAACTAACTAACTAACTAACTAACTAACTAACTAACAGGAAGGTTGCTAAAGGGAGGGATTTGCTTACAAAAGTAGGCAACATTAGACATGGAAAAACTGTAAGTTACATACCTCCATCTGAAAGAGTGAGCTTCTCCAGTTCTGCTTCAAGCTCAGCATCTGAGAAGCTAGGAAGTACTACAGAAGCCGGAGACAGTGGCTTTTGTGGAACTGAAGGCAGGTCTGGCAGATCTTTTGAGGAGTCCATGAGAAGACTGTCCAATTCTTTTTCAAGTTCCTCTGTATCAGCTTCTAAGGTTAGAGAAGAAATTAACTGAACTCAATCTTCTATGTGTTTACTCACATTCAAAAGTAACAAAGTTCAGTGGAGCTTACTCCCAAGAAATTGCAAATAGGGCTGGAAATTTTTTTTTTAAAAGGTAGAGAAGCTGAGCTTCAGAGTACAAAAATACGTAATATACAATCTTCAAACTCTATACGAGAGCAAGTGCTTGAAACAAACGTCGTTCTTTTAAATTTTTACAGCTGTTGTGAATACAAATCTCGGTGGTGGTTATTTTTACGCTTCTACCCAGCAGAGAAAAAAAGGAACTAAGAAACATGAATCTAATCTGCAACATACGTTCAGATCTGGTTCAGAGTATCACTGAAGACTGCCTCCTGTGGCTTCCTCACGCAAAGATAATCAACCAATATCTGACCACACAACCTAAACTCATCAGGGCAAAAATCCTGATGCGTGTAATTCCCAAATTCATATTTGCTAGAAGCATTTTTCAACCATCCTTCCTATAAAGGATTAAGGCACGAGCAGAAGCAATTACGAACACCAGTTAGGTCATAAATAAACACAGAAAGTAGAGAAATCATGATCATGGAAGCAAATGTAATATTATTTAAGCCAAAGAATTGGTTTTTCGAATAAAGATGACATTCCCTTGTGGATCAACTGTTGGGTTCTATGTGTAAGCAGTGAGTGGGACTGAAGCCAGACATAAACTGGTTTGTTCCTACTCACTCTCCTCTTCCCTGCCCAACAGACTTTCAGGAAAAGGGCAGTTTACTCTTATTAGAATCTGAACTGATTGCTTGCAGAAGGTTTTAGCAATCAGGCTGAAGGTTATATACAACCTTAAAGTCAGAGGTTCCTGCCCCCAGAAAATAATCCGCAATCATAAATCCATCTAACTTTCAACTCATGAGATTATTTATATCAGACTAACACAGCAGGCACACAGAGGTAAGATGGGCCTATCTCAAATAACCTGTTAGAGGCATTTGATAAAGGAAATCACTTATCACATACAGGAAGTCCTTGACTTACGACCACAATTGGGACCGGAATTTCTGTTGCTAAGCGATATGGTCATAAAGTGACCATATCACTTAGCAACTGCAATCCCGGCAGTCCCGGTTGCCATTGTTAACCGAGAATTGTGGGTTGTTAAGTGACTCACCTCAATCCAAGCCATTCCGGGCTTGGTCCCTCCCAGCCCTGAGCCTCAGTAAGATAAGGGACTGCCTCCAACTCCCCCCACCTGCCTATCTCCCCCCTGATCTCTACCCTTCTGGCTGCCCTGCACCCTGGCTTATGGGGCAGCAAGCAGCCCCAGAACCGCACAGCTCCCGGGCTGCTTTCCATCCCCCACGAAGCCGCAGCCACCCCCCCCCAACCCCACCCCCAGTC